TGTCAAGAGCAAATATTTCAATATCAAATGTAAGCATGTTGAATGCTGCTGGCTTGATAAAATTTGAAAATAAATTTGGAATAAATAAGACACACTATTTAATCTTCACTGGCTTTGAGGTCAACTGAACCTCATTGCAACCTCAATTTGTGTGTTTGTGCCTGGTCTAAATTGAATTTACTGCTTGTTCTTCATGTTTTTCCAGTTGAGCACCTAGTGTGATCAGCATGTTAAAAATGCATGACAGTGAGATAGAGCAGGGATGTTAAATATTGGTTAATTGAATAGTCAAGTAACCTCATGAAATTTTATCTGTTAGTTGACTATTCTACAGTCCCTGGGGGTCGGGCCAGCAGCCACCATATCAGAGGCAGCAGCACCAGGGAGCCGGTTTAAAAACCAGCTCCCCATACGGACTGGCTGCTTATTGCCCTGTATTGCTGCTTCTGAGAGAGAGGTGGCAGCAGTCCCTGTCTAGGGGAGGGTCTGAGCTCCTGGACCCCCCACGAGCCAGAACTGAAGTGGGCTGCCTGCCTGCCCGGCTCTTAAGACACTTGAAATGCAGAGCCACAGCAGGGGTAGGTCCCGGACCTGTCACAAGCCAGGACTGAGAAATTTACTGGCAGGGAGAGGGGGAGCGGGAAATGCATGTAGTCTATAGCATTAACCTATAAGCGTTTGCTAATCGGTTAATCGAGTGTACTATTACATCCCTGTGATGGAGCACACGGTTTTTATCAACAAGTATTTAGGAGTTGGTTTCACATTCTGTCTGAAACGTATTACTACTTTCACTGAACCTGGTTAGTCCTACAAATTTATGGCCTTATCATGCACCATTGAATGATTGGAAGGTTTGCCATTGACTTCAGTTGGGTCACAGGAACAATACTTCGGACCAAGTTAATCCCTGATTAAATTTGATTTTTTTTTTTTTTAACAATGAGAATTGGGCTTAGTAACTTGGATATATCCATTTTTTTGAGTCTGAACTCTGTACAAATGTAGCGATTTTTAGAATGTAAATAACAAGCCACAAATAAATTAAAACGAAACCTAAACAAGGTATGTACATGCCTCTTTTCTAAGTTACCATGTTAGATTGGTGCTGTAATCGTACTCCCTTTCATTACTAAACCCCTCTGTTTTTCTTGTACTTATATTTTTAATTACAACTTTTTTCAGAGCAAAGGCTGTCTTGTGTATGGGTTTTTTTTTGTTTGTTTGTTTTTAAGGGCTAAGAATACATTGTACACAAAACAAATAAGGAGGGCTTGCCGAACCTGGCTCTTCTGGGTTACAATCTACTCGCCATAGGCCTGTAGATTGTATTATTTGTCGAGCCCTGCAAATAAGCATAATTAAAAGGTGAGATGCAGCTGATTTCCCAGGATAGATCTGCTGTTCTTACATAGTTTAATCACGACTCTTATTTTCCAATGTATTTAACAGAAACTAATTCCTTTGATGATAAAAGAATAACCCGGTCCTCTATTAAAAGAAAGGTAAGCATCCTTAATATTTGTTTGGTAATTTTATGTCTGATTTATAATTTTTATTGAACTTTCAAATAACTCCTGAATTTTATCAACTGTTGTTTGTATTGTTAGTAACAAATGATTGAAATATTGGTAAGACTTAGACAGCAATGATTTTATTTTCTTATTTTAAAACATGGTTTACGTTTTACACGCACTATCTTGCATAATTATCTTGATTTGATTTTAAGATTTTATTCCTGTGTACTGTGACTTTTTTTTATTGCTATAAGGTCTCCAGGATATGTGTGCGCATGTGTACATGGTAGGACTAATTATACAAGTAGCCATTACCCCTCATCCTCACAGCAAATGTCACCATGTTACTAGGTAGCAATATTAATCTATCTAGAAGATTAATCAAATAGCACTGACAAATGACACATGCCTGTTAACATTCCTTTGCTCTCAGGAACTTGAGGCTCAGTTTCTTGCATAGGGTTCTAACAAATTTGAATGTCTCACTAGACTTGCTGTACAGGGCTGTGTAGCTGTAGTTACAGGTTGGGGCACTTGAACGAGTGAATAGGGCATTCCAGATGACCAATCCACCGTCCTTAAAATAAATTGTGTGTGTGTATTTAAAGGCAATATTTAACTGAGAGGCAAGTTAGGCTTTGTAAATCTTTCATCCCCATTGCAATAAATTGGCTATCCTGATTTCATTAATCAAGTGGCATAAACAAGATGTATAACTCTGAGAATGTTATGGCTTCTGGTCCATATTTTTAAAAAGAATTGATGTTCTTCAATAGTGTATCAGAATTACAGAAGAGACTGGTCGTAGCAGCTCGACAGGCATGATGGCCAACAATGCTCAAGATACTAAAAATACAAGAAAGAGCCAGGCTCAAAGAGGGAAGAATGTTAACAAACCTGCCCCCAAAAGGTTACCAGTAAGTAGTAGCTCACTGCAGTCATGTTAATACCTCACTTAATTGTTCCTATCCTAGATGTCTCCTAAGATTATTCTCTCTCGGATGTCTTCCATAATTACAAGATCTGCTCATAGGTTTGGGGGAGTGTTTTTATGCCACTGCCAACACACTTTTTAAATCTTGTAGGTGTCACACTCTCTCCTAATCCTTTTCTATACCACTAGTGTGAAGCTGGGCCCAAAAGCTCTTTCCACAAGAAGTGAGAGAAACCTTGTACAGCAGAATAGCACAGAATGGAGCCCTTAAGCTTTCTCCTAAAAAATGTAACTTCCATATTCAACAGTAAATAACTGTGCTACAGTTGCACCCATTTCCTTAGTGTTACCTAAATATATGCTTTTCCCTCTAAATAAACTGTTAATTTATGTAGCTTTATTGAAAACTTAGAAGGGATAATACTGTCTTGTTTTTTAAAACTTTTTCAGAAGGTAAAACGTAGAGGAAAAAGAGGAAGGAAAAAGGTAGAAAAATCCTTGTACGGTGTGAGAGAGATAGCTTCCAAGAAACCTCTTTTGAGCCCAATTCCTGAGATCCCAGAGGTCCTCTCTTCTGCACCGTGTTCTCCAAGCACACCTAAGAAACCTATTCTGCTCTTCTCAGGTAATATAGTCTCTCTCCCTTTCACCCGCTCTCATTTTTGTCCACAGTCAATGATAAGATGTAAAAGCTGTTAACTTTCTATCCTTCATACGTTAAAAAGTCTAATAAATCTGACCTTCATCATCTTGTGAAGAGGAATCCTGAAGAAAAGGGAGTCGGGGAGATCGTACTTCAGTGATATGATCCGAAAACTTACCAAACTGAGAAACTGAATTCTTACAGTGCAGCAATTTAAATTTAAATTTCTACAAAGAAGAGTCTTTGAATAAATGATGTTATAGGATAGGGCAGAAAAGCCTTGAGGTGACTGATTTTAAACTCTTTCTTTACATGGGTTGGTTAGGTCCTCAACTTCAGGGTTTCATTTAGTTTACTATAACTTTTTTTAAATTAACGAATCAACACAGCTCAGGGGCCATAGAAGTACACTGTTTCCCCATTGAGTTAAACAAAAATATTGATCAAGTTTTTCTAAGTTCCATAGAGGAATTTGAAATTTGCATGTCATTTAATTACTGATTATGCGCAAAGGATGTTGAGCAAATTAGCTCACTTGCCAAATTATTTTTACTTTTTTTGAACTTTGAACAAACTTACAGAATTTAAAGCAAATTTAATCTGAGTAAAACTAATATGAAAACAAATTGGACATCTTATATTTCTATATAATATAAGGAAATATTCTGTTTTAATATTTAGCTATGGTTCTCTAAAGAAGCACTTTGGGTTTTTAGGATCCCTAAAAATTTGGGATCCTGGAGCCCCCATGTCATGTGAGCTCAGAATGTAGTCTGTATAGATTTAGAGATGTTGCAGTTTTAGATGGGAGAAACGATTAGCTTCCAATTTGTCTCTGGTAATGAAGGCACATCTTTTATAGATATGCTTAGTTAGTTAACTGATATTTCTGCCTGTAAGTACTAATATCAGGCCTCCTTTGAAAGTGTGCTACTTCCGTATGCCTTTTTGAAGGAGACTGGCTTCAGTCAAATACTTTCCTATAAAATTTTGATTATCATAGAGCTGGAAGAGACCTCAGAAGGTCATTAAGTCCAGACCCCTGCCCAAGGCAGGACTAATCCCAACTAAATCAACCCAGCCAGTGCTTTATCAAGCTGAGACTTAAAAACCTCTAGGGATAGAGATTCCACCACCTCCCTAGGTAACCCATTCCAGTGCTTCACCACTCTCCTCGTGAAATAGTTTTTCCTAATATCCAATCTAGACCTCTCCCACTGTAACTTGAGACCATTGCTCTTTGTTCTGCCATCCATCACTACTGTGACATCCGCC